TTGTTTTTAAGGCAACTGCAACCTACTTGTGTGCCAGCCAATACACAACTTGCATGAAAAACAACAGAGATGCAGAAAGCAGAGTTTGAACAAAAAACAGACTTTATGCATTAATTTACTCAAGTCTATGTTCCGGGATAGAGCTGGATAAAAGGACCAAAAACTGCAGCCCATTCTCTGATAAGGAGTTTATCCGTTTGGTGGCCTCGAATGTCCTGAGAAAAAAATAAGCATTTGAGAATGTACCCAGTACCATTGAAGACGGTTAGGGCTGAAGAATTTTTTTTTTCTTTCCACAATTCTGAAAACAAAAAGTCTGAATTCTCACACTAATTTCACAATTCTGACATTTCTTGGCATTTCTGAGGTTTTTCAGAATTCACTGAGAAAAAAAGTGAGTGGCCCTAATCCTTGACCTTTCCAGGGTGTAACCTGCCTCTCACCCCACGACAGCAGTGATAGGCTCCAGCCCCCTGCAACTCTGAATTGGATGAGTAGAAGAAAATGGTCCGTCTTTTAAAATGCATGTACAGCCATTACAAGCATACAGACTAATTTCACTTTAGGTCAAGTTTACACCATTACAGTGTTACCCAGTCAGTATCACATCACTTTGTTGTTGAATTTCAAATTAAAAGTCTGCTGAAATGTCATAAGTGCAGTTTTTTCCATCACATTCAGAATGCCATTATAAGGAAACCTCGTGTTTCCACGGACTCATTTCACGTTAGATCAACAGCACACACTGTCAATCTGGTTTTTAATTTTACTTTAAGTGAAAAGTATACACCTTCACAGTGTTACTCAATTAATATCAAATTATTTCAAAAATAATAGCAGTTTGAAAGCTGACTTTTTTTTTGACCTGAAATTCTGAATGCCATTATATGGAAATTTAATCCCTGCACAGCAGTTATCTGTGTGCAGGGATTTCTTACTTTGTTACGCTCTTGCTAGATCCTTATTCTACATGGAAACGACACCAACATCCTTCCCTCTATGGTTCACCTTTTGCAGTGTTACGGATTCAAATATTGAGGATGGATACAGGAGGAAAACCCAAAATAACAACACTGGTCCGGCCGGGTCAAGTCAAACGATGATTTAATGAACACACGCGTGGGAGATGGACACCATACAGCAGACAGCATCAGATCTCAAAATGGTGGAGCCTTGATCAAACTCTTATAGCCTCT